TTTCCCTGCCGTACCCCCCCCCCCGCCCGCCCCCCAGAGATTCAAAAGCTTGGTTTCCATTTTCCCTTCTCGCGTCACTGTTTTCCTTGTGCCTTTCTTCCTTTCCCCTTCCGTCTCCCCCGTTCCCCTTCCCGTTTGTTGTTCATGATTTCAGAGTGAAAGCTTTTGATTTTTGTCCATTTAGCGCGCTGTTTGTCACAGACGGCTTTTATCGGATTGAGGTAAAGACCGTCCATTCAGATTTTCTGTGGGGTTTTCTTTTTCATCACGAATGGGTGTTGGGCCTCGTCAAATGTTTTTTCTTCGTCTCCTGAGAGGATGATATGGTTTTTTGCTTTTGTTTTTTGAGGCAGGGTCTCCCTGTGTAGCCCAGGCTGGTCTCTAACTCACATACCCACCAGCCTCAGACTTCAGAGTGCTGAGATCACAGGTGTGCGCCACCACGCCTGACTTCTAAATCCCCTTTGGATGGATAAAATTCAGAAGGTCTTTGTGTTGACCTGATCATTTTCTGTCTTGACTCTGTCACTAGGCATTTCTTGGGCACCTGCTATGTGCTACGGACTACACTGGCCGCAGGGAGCTCACTGACTAGTAGGGTGTGGAGATGGTGAATTTATTCCCGGGAGGCCTCACACATAGGCAGACCTGGAAGTCAGAGAGAAGAGGAAGTGGCTGGGCTGGCAGTGAGGGCAGGCTCCCTCCACCAGGATGAGGGCAAGGTGGGCAGAAACAGCATCCAAGCTGAAGTCTGCAGAATAACGTCACAGGTGGTGGGTGCTGCTGTGCAAAGGCCCTGGGGTTGGAACAAGCTGAGGTGTTCACAGGAACGGCAGGAGCTCACGGTCTAGGTGGGTGGGAGGAGTGAGGCTGGGCTGGAGTAGCCCTGAGGGATAAAGCCTATGAGTCCCCCTGACCAAATCAGACTTATCCCAAGGGTGCAAGAATGGTTCAACATACATAAATCAATAAACGTGTACACTGTATTAGCAGAGTCGAGGACAAAAACCATATGATCATCTCAGTAGACGCAGAAAAAGCATTTGATAAAATTAAACACCCATTCATGATTTAAAAAAAAAACTACAGAAAATTATAATAGATGGTCTTTATCTCAACCTGATAAAGGCTGTCTATGAAAAACCAACAGCAACATCATACTAAATGGTCAAAAACTGAAAACCTTCATGCTGAAATCAGGAACAAGTCAAGGATGTCCACTATCACCCCTCCTGTTCAATATAGTTCTAGAAACATTAGCCAAAGCAATTAGACAAGAGAAAGAAATAAAGGAATAAAGATAGGAGAGGAGGAAGTTAAACTGTCACTATTTGCTGACGATATGATACTCTATATTGAAGACCCAAAAACTCTGCCAAAAGACTGCTAGACTTAATTGACAGATTCAGTAGAGTAGATGGATACAAGGTCAACACTCAAAAATTGATAGCCTTCTTATACACAAATAACAGACTCAGAGAGAGAAAAATTGGGGAAACAATTCCTTTCACAATAACACCCCCAAAAATGAAATATCTAGGAATCAATGAAAGAAGCAAAAGACCTCTACGTTGAGAACTACAGCACTCTGAAAAAAGAGATCAAAGAGGATATAAAAAAATGGAAAGATGCTGGGTATGGTGGCACACGTGTAATCCCAGCACTCGGGAGGCTGAGGCAGGAGGTTCGTTGTGAGTTCGAGACCAGCCTGGGCTACATAGTGAGTGCCAGGTCAGTCTCAACTACATAGTGAGACCCTGTCTCAAAAAAAAAAACAAAACAAAAAATGGAAAGACATCCCCTGCTCCTGGGTAGGAAGAATCAACACAGTGAAAATGGCCATACTACCAAAACTGCTATACAGATTCAATGCAATGCTGATTGAAATACCAACAGTATATTTCACAGTACTTGAGAATACAATTCAAAAATTCATTTGAAACCAGAAGAGACCTAGTTAGCAAAAGCCATTCTAGGCAACAGAGACATGGCAGGGGGCATCATAGTTCCCATCTTGAAACTATACTACAAAGCCACTGTGATAAAAACAGCATGGTACTGGCAAAGAAACAACCTGAAGATCAGTGGAATAGATTAGATGATGCAGAAACGACTCCAGATATACCCAGCCACCTCATCCTTTTTTTTTTTTTTTAAACACGGTTTCACTATGTAGTTGAGACTGGCCTGGATCTCATTACATAGCCCAGGCTGGTCTCGAACTCACAGTGATCCTCCTGCCTCAGCCTCCCGAGTGCTGGGATTATAAGTGTGTGCCACCACGCCTGGCAGCTACCTCATCTTTGACAAAGGAGCCAGCCATCCTCATTGGAGGAAAGATAGCCTCTTTTTAATAAGTGGTGTTGGAAAAACTGGCTTTCAACTTGCCAAAGATTAAAACTACATTCTTATCTTTCACCATACACTAAACTAAAATCCAAGTGGATTAAAGATCTAAATGTCAAAACAGAAACATCAGACTTACTGGAAAATAAATTAGAACTCTCAAAGACATTGGCATAGGAGAAGACTTTATATATATTTTGTTGTTGTTGTTTTTGTTTTTTTGAGACAGTCTCACTGTATAGTTGAGACTGACCTGGAACTCACTATGTAGCTCAGCTGGTCTCAAACTCACAGTGATCCTCCTGCCTTAGCCTCCCAAGTGCTGGGGTTACAGGTGTGTGCCACCAGAGAAGACTCTATCTTTATGAACAAATCCTCAGCAGCATGAGAATTTGCACAAAGAATCAACAACTGGGATCTCGTTTTTTCAGTGCAAGAGAAAACACCAACAATGTGGGAAAAAAATTTTACCAGCTCCTCAGACAAAGGATATATAAAGAACTCAAAAAGAATAAGACCCCCACCCAGATACAAAGACCCTGTTCAAAAATGGGCATCTGAAATGTACAGACATTTCTCAGACAAGTGAAAGCAGCAAATAAATATATGAAAAAATGTTCCACATCACTGGTCATTTGAGAAATGCAGATGAAAACAACACTGAGATTCCACCTCACCCCACAAAGAATGGCTGCTATCAAGAAATCACACAATAACAAATGTTGGTGGGTTTGCGGGGAGAAAGGAACCCTTCTCCATTGTTGGTGGGAGTGCAGACTGTGCAACCACTATGGAAATCAATATGGAGAGACCTCAAAGAGCTGGGAGTAGAGGTTCCATCTGACCCAGCCATCCCTCTGGTGGGTATCTTTCCAAAAGAATTCAAAGAATGATATCATAGATATATACGCGCACCCCTGTTTATAGCGGCACAGTTTGTAACAGCTAAAACTTGGAAACAGCCCATTTGCCCCTCAGTTGGAGACTGGATCAAGAAGATGTGATTTTTCCATAAAATGGAATACTACTCAGCCATAAAGAGTAAGAAACTACCGGCCGGGGATTTATCTCTGGTGCTGTCACCTGCCTCGCAAGTGCAAGGACCCGAGTTCAATCCCTGGAACCAAAAACAACAAGAAAACAAGAAACTAGGGCCAGGGTTTTAGCCCAGTGGTGCCTCCGCCTGCCTCGCAAGTGCAAGGTCCCAAGTTTGATCCCTGGTCCAAAAAAAAAAAAGAATAAGAAAGTAGAGACATTTATAGCTCAACGGATGCACATTGAGGGTGTACTCTGTTTTTTTGGTACTGGGGATCAAACTCGGGACTGAGCTGAATCCCCGGCCCCGAGGCTATACGCTTAGGTGAAGTAAAAAGGACACACTCGAGTAAATAAATTTCTCTGCTGTGAAAAACTAAAAGTGTAAATAAGGTTCAAATGGCGTAATCGATAGTACGAAACAGGAAGGAAATGGCTAAAGGGGAGGGGAGATGAAAGAAGGGAAAAGAAAAAAATGTGACAAAAGGCAAAAATGGAAACAAAGTCTTTGTAAAAAGGGAAGGGTGACGGGGTGAAGGGAGGGCAGGGGAAAAAACAAGAACCAAGATACAGCATGGAAAGGTACCAGGTCCCCATGATGAATGTAACCGTACTGTTTGCACCAATAAACTTAACAGGGAAAACAAACACATAAATAAGTAAAAAGTCTGTGAGCCCGGGCCCTTCATGAGAAGGGGACGCAGGGGACGCGTGGCGAGGCAGGCGCAAGCAGGGACGGAGCCGGGATGGAAGCCGTACCCGCACTCTGGGGCCGGCCGCTTGTGCGGCAGGGAGCTCCCTGTCTCGAGGTGACCGGGCCGCCACCTCTTGCGTTAGGGATCTAACCCGTGGGAATAAGGGCCCAGCACAGGTGCTTTCTGTCCCCAGGTGTAAAACGTGTGGCGAATACATCTACAAGGGGAAGAAATTCAACGCCCGCAAGGAGACAGTGCAGAACGAGGTGTACCTGGGCCTGCCCATCTTCCGCTTCTACATCAAGTGCACGCGCTGTCTGGCGGAGATCACGTTCAAGGTATCAGCCGGGCCGACCTCCACCTGGACCCCTCAGGTGGGATCCAGCAGGGAGGGCCCTGGGCTTCCCGATCGCGTGCCCTCCCTGCAGGCAGAGCGGCTCCTGGGACGCAGACAGAGTGCTGAGGGAAATGTTCACAGCAACCTTGCTTGTGAAGGCAAAGAGCTGCCAAGGTTGGGGTACACACTTGGCATCTCAGCCACCGTGGAGGCTGAGGCAGGAGGACCGCTTAGTATGACTGTCTCAAGGGCGAGGGATGTAACTCACTGTGAAGGCCCTGGGTCCCGCTCTAGGACTACAAAAACACCCACCCCGGGGATGTAGCTCAGTGGTTCCGCCGCTTGCCTCGCAAGCACAAGGACCTAAGTTCAATCCCCGATAACAAAACAAAACACTCAGGCCTGGGCTTTCCACAGAGAGGCCGGGAGTCCTAGAAAGACAGGTCTGTCCCCGCCAAAGCAGTATGACAAGGGAAAGGACAAAAAAAGCTGACAGGAAGAGCGGGGACCTGGGAGATGGCCACACGCTTCCGCTGCCCAGGCGTGCAGGAGGTGACGTCCGCCCGTCCCCCAGACAGACCCGGAGAACACGGACTACACCATGGAGCACGGGGCCACGCGGAACTTCCAGGCCGAGAAGCTCCTGGAGGAGGAGGAGAAGCGGGTGCAGAAGGAGCGGGAGGACGAGGAACTGAACAACCCCATGAAGGTGTGCGCGGTGCGGGCGGTGAGGTCACAGAGCTCTGAGAGCTGCGCCCTCCTCCTGTGTGACCCGGTGTGTCACATCCATCTTACGGCCTTACGCAGGAAGAGGTAGTTTCTCGGAAGAAGCAAAGCAGGGAGGTGTGGCGGGTCACGGGGAGGGGACAGCGGGTGGCCTTGATGACGGCCCCTGGTCAGACACCAGTGAGAATAAAAGTGAATGTGGTGGGTGCGGAGGTGTACCCTGGGAGGCTGAGGCAGGAGGGTTGCAAATTGAATCCCAGCCTGGGCAACTCAGCAAAACCCTCTCTTTTTCAAAAAGTAAAAGTGCTGGGGCCTGGTTCAGGGGTGAGCACTTACCTTGCATGTGTGAGGACCTAGGTTCCGCTACCAGCCCCCAGCAACACACACAAAAGTGAAAGCAGGGGTCCTTCGCTGCCCTTGGGTTCAAATCTCAGGCCTCCACCGTATCTTTCTCTGTCGTGTTACCGCGTCAGCCGCAGTGTCCCCGAGGCCAGCCCGAGTGGGCCCTAGCCCGTGCCCACCTGGCCCACAGGTGCTGGAGAACCGCACGAAGGACTCAAAGCTGGAGATGGAGGTGCTGGAGAACCTGCAGGAGCTCAAGGACCTGAACCAGCGGCAGGCGCACGTGGACTTCGAGGCCATGCTGCGGCAGCACCGGCTGTCGGAGGAGGAGCTGCAGCAGCGGCAGCAGGAGGAAGACGAGCGTGAGACCGCGTGAGTCTGCAGGGCCTTCGCCGGCTGCTCTGCTGCTCTGTCCCTCTGTCCCCGTGTCCTTGCAGACCGGCCCACGGCTCCTCTGGGGTCACCTATTCTGCACCCCCATCTCACTCTGTCCCCTGTGGCGTCTGTGTTGGGGAAAACCCGGGTGCTAGATCCCCGGGCGCCCCAGGACTCAGCACGCGGCTGACTGTCCTTGTGGCTGGTTTTTGGTTTGCGTTTTAATTTGTCAGCACTGGGAATTGAGCCCAGGACCTTTGCACCGAGCTACATTGACAGCTCTCGATTATTTTTTTTATTTTGAGGCAGGGTTTTGCTAAGTCGCTAAGTTTTGACTGGACTCAAGCTTGTGATGCTGCTGCCTCAGCTCCCAGAGAGCTGGGATGACGGGCGTGCATCACCACCCCGGCTTCTCACTGTTTTCGGGGAGCTGGGCGTGGAACCCAGAGCCTCGTGCATTCTAGGACGGCGCTAAGCACGGAGCCGCGCCCCGGTGGTTTGTAGAGCGACGGACGCAGCAGAGGAGGCCACCTGGACAGGCAGTGCAGCTGGGGAGACCCAAGCCCTCCCCTGGGTCGTGCTGGTGTCCTCCGTTCTCCCCTCAGAGCCTTCCGGCTTCTCCTGTGTCCCCACACCTAGGACAGGGTCAGCGCGCGTGGCTGCTCAGTAGGCTCCTTGGGGCGACAGGTCAGTGTCACTGTGACTGCGGTACAGTGCGGCACCTGTGTGTGCTGGGCCCGCTCTGACTCCTTCCTCTCCTAATACCCTGGAGGCTGGCATGGTCGGCACCAGGGTCCAGGGACTGAGGTCTCGTTGGCTGGTGCAGTCACCCAGACAGGGTGGGAATCCAGATAGGTTGCTCTAGAGTCCCTGACCGTTCCACAGTCACCAGGAAACACAGGAAAGTTACTTTTCTTTTGTTTTGATTTTTTGAGACAGGGTCTTACTATGTAGTTCAGGCTGGCCTCAAACTTGTGGCAATCCTCCTGCCTCAGCCTCTCGAGTGCTGGAATTACAGGCATGTGCCACCATCAAGCAGGAAAGTTAATTTTAAAACATCTAATCAGGCCTATCAATCCAGCACTCTTGGAGGCTAAGGCAGGAGGATCACAAGTCCATCCCAGCCGAGGCAACTTAGTGATTTAGCAAGACTGTGTCTCAAAATTTTAAAAGGGTCTGGGGATGGATCTCGGTGCACAGGCTCTGAGTTCAATCCCCAGAACTACAAAATTCAAAAGCACAGCCGTCTGCTCCCGCCCCTGCTGTATGGGGTAGATGCAGAGTACGTCCCAGCCCCACGGTCTGCCACACAGGGCTCTCCTGGAGGAGGCTCAGAAGCGAAGGCTCCTGGAGGACTCGGACTCAGAGGACGAAGCTGCATCAGCCCCACCGGCCCCGCCAGCCCTGCGGCCCCAGCCCACCGCCATCCTGCATGAGGTCAGCTGGCTGCCGGCCCTGTGCCCAGGGGATGGGGAAGCAGGCGCCGCGGGCTCTGCCCTTGGATGGGTGTGAAGGACAGGGGGGCAGTGCCTGTAAGTCCTTGGGGACTGTCCCTCTCCAGCCTGGCGAAGAGGCTGTGGAAAGGGACATGCATCACTGGCTTGTGTGGGTCCTTGCCATGATCATAGAAATTAAAACTAGAGGGGCAGGTGTGTGGCGCACACCTGTTATCCCAGAACTGGGGAGGCTGAGGCAGGCGGATCACTACAAGTTCGAGGCCAGCCTAGACTTCATAGCAAGACCTTGTTTAAAAAAAAAACAAGGGGCCAGGGATTTAGCTCAGTGGTTCCACTGCCTGCCTCACAAGTGCAAGGTCCCGAGTTTGATCCCCGGTACAAAACAAAACAAAACAAAAACTTAAAATACAAATTACAGAAAAAGTTTTAATTGTAAAGTAAGAGCAAAGACAGGGAAAGACTGCTATTTTGTGTGTGTGTGTGTGTTGTTTGTTTGTTTGTTGAGATGGGGTCTCACTATGTAGATGAGACTGACCTGGAACTCACTATGTAGCCCACACTGGTCTCAAACTCACAGAGATCCTCTTGCCTCAGCCTCCCAAGTGCTGGCATTATAGGCGTGTGCCACCACACCTGGCTGAAAATTGTTGTTTTATTTTGGGTTTTTTGGTGTTTTTTTTTTTTTTTTTTTTTTTTTTTTTTTTTTTTCACGGGTCAA